CGATCGGAGAATTTCCCCGACCTCGTAAGTGCGGCAAGTGTGGTGCAACAGGACATACTAAAAGATTTTGTACAAGTCAGATTCCTCTGCATTACATCGTAACAGATGTATAATTGAAGTTTATGTAACATTATTTATAACATTGATATTAATTATTCATGCATATTCTTAATGTTAATTATTTATGTTAATTATTAAATTTAGTTGTTTTATTTTAATATTTCATTAATTAGTTGCGTAATATTTGAAATTAATCATTTTTTAAAACTCAGTGCGTTCTCCACAATATATCCAAATATTATAAATACGTTATGAAACATTTAAATAAACACATAAACTAAAAAATAAAATTTAAATATTAAAAAAATAATATATTTTTACAATTTTTCGTAATTACAAATGAATGAATGAATGAAATATACAATATTTAAACGTTACAATATGTACAATTATTTTAAAGAAACACGACTCAATATCTACGGATCACCGTTAAATTCAAATAAATCACAAGCTAATTTATTTTTCCAATTTTGTATTCACGCCTGGTTGATTGTGTCAACCTTCTGTGCTACATTCAAAAATTTTATGTACTTGATAGCGAATATGCTGCAATTAACCATACAATTACAAAATATCGTATTAGCACATCACTGTCTAACTAGAACGTAAGTTGTAAATTACAAAAATAAAATAATAAACACTTACGATATTTGTTGTCTCGTCGTCGTTGTGTCCCGCAGGGTGGCTAGTCTGTCCTGCACAGTAATGTTCGCTCGTCTAGCCAGCATGGGGACGATCACAGACACCGACTCCAGATTTTGCTCGGGCTGACCTTGTGTCAGGCATGAATGATCGGGGTCATACATATGCATAGTCGAGTCGGCAAATACAATCTCTACTGCAATATAGTGATGATTGACACACAACGAAATGTACAGATGCGTACAACCCTCCCATGGCTTTCTCCCGACAGTCGGCCACATCCCTACGATCCACTCCATCATGTGTGTAGGCACCGTGCACTCGCTACCCATAGCTTGCAACGTCTGGTACTTAATATCAACGACACGTATGAACTCGGTGTTCAATATGAGTCGGCCAGGAACGTGGATCGATCTTGGATGTCGTTCAGCTCGATCTCGTAGTAAATCCATGGCAAAGTCAATGTGTTGGACAAATTAAAAAAGGAGTTATTTAATTTCGTAAATGCAAAATGCAAAAATATGTATACGTGATAAATACCAATATTACTTCTTCACTTATATCATCGGCGAGCCTAGCCCTCTAAGTTGTGATGTTGTAAAACCACTTGTAAGCGTTCGAGATCGTCTTATGAGCAATCCTGCGATTGACTCTGAAAAATAAGAAAAGAAATTGTTATGTAAAAATATAGATGTGTTAGCATCAGCGTAATGTACTAATCCTTAACGAATAATACAATACTTACCCGGGCATAAGTGATTTCCACTCCACCTCGAACGCTTTCCACTTGGCGTGGTCTACCTCCCTAAGTAAATTCGTGTGCGTACCGTCAACGAACCTCCTCCTTTTCGCCTCCGCGGTAAACGGAGAAACGACGTAGTGTGATGGTGCCCTCGGCCTCTTGCTGACCACCAGCTCCGGCACATCAATAGTACGCAAAACCCTCCCAATATCCGATACTCCCTCACCTACATTTTAATTACTTACTTTGATTATCTTTATCCGATTATTTTTCATTTAATTGCTTGAATTGTTCATTTAAATTATTTGATTTAATTACTTATACTGATCGATTATTTACATTATTTATTGAACAAGAGCAAACACAAATATTTCATTATTTTCAAATATTAGAAATTTATTTTAATTAAACATTAATTAATATTTTGATTATTAACATTTATTCATTTATAATTTAAATAATCATTTAATTATTATTTAAATGTTCATTATTTATTTTTGTGCATTTCAATTAATTATTTATTCCAATTGTTTTTCATTATTTGTTTCAATTATTCATTTAAATTATTTGATTTAATTACTTATATTGAAAGATTATTTAAATTATTTATTGAACAAGCAAACGTAATTATTTACTTCCTATTAGAAATTTCTATCAATTAAATTTTAATTGTGTATTTTGATTAATAACATTTATTTATTTATCATTTAAATAATCATTTAATTATTATTTACATGTCCATTATTTATTTTTGTGAGAAATTAATTATTTATTCCAATAGTTTTTCATTTCAATTGTTCATTTAAATTATTTAATTTAATAATTTGATCATTTAAATTATTTATTGAACAAGTAAACGTAAATATTTAATTATTTATTTAGAAGGTTGAATTTCTTTCAATTAATATGTAATTAAATTTTACTTGCGTATTTTGATTATTAATATTTATTCATTATTTATATTTTTCTTTTATCATTTAAAAAATAATTAAATAATTATTTAAAGATAAAAAAACAAAACAGTAAAAAAAACAGTAAAAATAGACGGCACAGACAGCATCTGTTAACAGACGGCCGTCTTCCTCATGGGGTGGCCATCTTTGACGGCCCCCTGTGCTGGAGATCGCCATTTCCGACACCCAAACCTTAAAAAAAATTAGTTTCTATTATTTTTACATATTCTACAAAGATTTTTACCATTATTTCCAACAAAATAAACTTTTAACATAGATTAATGGGAGAAAAATTATACAAAACTTACTTTCTTCGCTTCTAATTGTGGCCGGTAGGTCTCCTCCCAAGAAAAACTCGTCAGTTTCCTTCCCCTTCTCTCTCCAGACGTCGGTTTCAGAGTGAAAATATCAGGGGCAATTTTGGGTTTTCAATGTTTTTAAAGTTTTTACAAATTTTTGATTTTTTTTTTTTGAAAAGTGGTCAACGACTATTTTGGAAAATTGTATATTTTTTTGGCGTATTTGCCACCATTTCCTCCTTGGACTAATTTGACAAGAGATAATGTTCGGGTTTTACGTGGTTCAATAAAAAAGGATCCACGTTCACATGCTTTTTTCCTTTTTTTTTTATTTTATTTATTTTAATAGTTTTTTTTTTTCTTTTAATATTTGATTGTATGGGGTTGAATGATTAATTATTGGGTTAAAAAATTATAAAGAAAATCATCGTTTTTATATGATTATGCAATCAAATTAACAGGAAAATAATATTAAAATACAATAATTTATCTTAAATAAATTTTAAAAACATATCTATTTCTACCATTCGTGAATAATATTGTCATAGATATTGATATGCAAGAGGTAAATGTGACCATTGACCGGTGAACGGTAAAGAAAAATATAGAACTATTATTTTTCTTTTGAAAATGTGTGATTGATTTCAAAATTGATATTCTTTTTAATTTTTTTAAATAATTGGATTTCATTTCATATAATGAAAATCAGGATCGTATAAAGGTTTAACGTTTTTATGATATTATTTGTGATTTAATTTTATATTTATAATGTTTTTACTCGACATTTCCAACTCTTTTATTTTATATTTTTTTTGGCTAAAATTGAGACCCAAGTTTCAGATCTTGATTTTTTCAATTTCTTGAATTACAGACTCAATTTTACGTTACTACATAGTAAGCGCTTTGTTTGTCATAAAGTCAATAATTATCATTTATTTACTAATTAATATTAATAAAATTAATATTTAAATAAAATTATTAAATTACTGTTGTATTGCAAGCTTATATTATAAGGGTGTTTGATACCCATTTTTATGGGAAAATAAATTTTAGAATAGTAGATTGATGGAGAATATGCGGATAAAATTTTTTCGATTTATGTTTAATATTATTTTAATGAAAAACGTGTAATTAAAAAAAAATATTTATATATTTTAAGAAAAATGAAAATTAAACGGGACTTATATAAATTTTTAAATGCCAATCCTTCTTAACAAAATATTTCTAAATACACCACTTGCTGGCGGCTGAATGCATCCAAGGAGCACATTGACCAGTTACAATTACAAAAATGCTATTTGTAACAATAAAGATCAATGTACAAGTGGCACCCCTATAGGGGTGCAGGCCTTGTACAACAAGTACCGTTGGTCGAACACCACTTTCAACTTCGATTAATGCTAAATGGACAAGGCTGGAGACAGCCCAAATCATGATATCCGGGACAAGCGGTGTCATTGTAGCCTCTCTCTTCGACTTTTCCCCAGCTCTCAGACCCGTAAGCATGAGGATGATTTCGATTTCCAATAGAGACAATTTATTGGATAACATATTACTGATATTGAGCAAACACCAAGTTTATTTGATTTTTAGAGGTATATAATTCATTTAATTGTATCTTTTATTTAATATCATTCAAACTAGATATCAATGATGCTAAATAACATCTCTCGTTGATACTTGACAACATAATGTTGTACTACTACACATAACATTCTAACGAATTCTAACCCCAACTCTGTAACAGTCTTTCTCTAGTGGTTTAATTCGAACTCTCACATTTAGTCATTTCGTTCTCTAAAATATATCCAAGGCCATTTCAAAAAAAATAATAAAAGGATGTATTAACATTCTTACGAATTCTAACCCCTACTCTGTGTGACAGTCTTTCTCTAGTAGTTTAATTCTAACTCACACATTTAGTCATTTCATTCTCTAAAATATATCCAAGGCCATTTCAAAAAAAATAATAAAAGGATGTATTATCTACTACTACTTCTGTCTCTCACTACTTTTCCTTCCCAAAATATATCCTAAAATTTTCACCTCCTCATTTCAACTTTAGACAATTCCATCGAAACCAATAGAGAACATTGCCGTTGGAGGAAACAATCAATTAAAAGCAAAATGCATCTTTCGACTTTTCCCAGAGAACACACTATTCACGAGAAAACCACTCCCATTACACAATAAAAGCTTGGCTGCAAGTGTGGACCACTCTAGAACCCCTCAACTCCCGAAATGCAGCTTTGAAGATTAAAGCAACCACATAAATATAATGCAATAAGAAAATCGCTTCAGAGATATCAATTAGCAAGTAATAAGCACGTAACTGCCAGCCGAAGGATAAAAGGTTACAAAAACCAAGTTTAATCATTCAAAATCCCTAACCAATACATGATTATGAGCAGCTTAACCTCCATCAGTGATCAGACTGTTTAAAGTTTTAACTACTACTACTACTCCCATTAGTTGTACCAAAAGTTAATCAAGTTTGACTAGAGACAAAGCAGAAAATTAAAAGGACTGGAATTGAAAAGCAAGTTGATTAATATCAGATCTGAGGGCTCTCAAGCTGCCACGTCAGCGCATTTCTTCGGGGGAGAGCAGATCAGCCAGATATTACCATAAGGGTCCTTCACCTTGCCTACGCGCCCACCGCAGCACGCGGCGTCACCCTCGGAGATCTCTCCTACCGCAGTGGCGCCGGCGGTCACAGCCTGGGACAGGGCAGATTCCACCTCCTCAGTCTCAAGGCAGAACACACCGGTTACAGCAGACTTGACCCTAAACAACATAAACAAGACAAATACACTTACTGCACTGTACATCCTTTACTATAAAGATAAACTACAGCAACGACATGCATTAAATGATCGGTCGAGCCACGGAAGTGATCACAGAAAGAAGGAAAAATCCGTACAACTTTCTGAAATAAGGAAAAAGGGGTAAGAACCACGATGTATCACACAATATAGCAAAAACAACAAAATATAAACATCTAAAGTTAAAGATTAACCACGACTATGAACATTTTAAATCATCAGAACCGTAGATCTACCATAAAAACGATGAAATACGGGAAAAACCTCCAAATTCATGCAAAGAAAGTTAATGAACAAAATAAAAGAAGGCGAAAAAACATACGGAGAAGAGTCCTCATCAATAAGGTCAGAAACAACAACAATAGCGGAACCGAGCTTGAGTTCAGCAGAGAGAACAAGCGGAGTCTCCTGATTAGCCTTCCTCTTGGGGTGCATAACGCGGCTCAGCTCCTCAGCTCCAAAGGCCGTCTTGTAAAACTGCACAGCGTCGCTGGCTTTCGGCGCATCCACCACAAGCCATGGCTTCACCGCCATGAAGGCTACCGCAGGGGCCTTCTCAGCTCCAGTTCCGTTCTGTACCTCCGCCATTAGAGAGATTAAAAAACCTAGAGTTTAAAATGCAGAGAGAAAATGAAAGGACTAAATGAACGTAGAATGCGTCTGGGTGTGTACTTATAGGAAGCGAGGACACGTAACCGTCTGCTCTTCACAAGGATATTTTAGAGATTCAGTTAATTTTACTTCCAAGCTAGCCCTTACTTTCGTTCTTATTTACAGTTTTACCTTTCGATTTGACCTCCATTTTGTTTTTATTTACATGAATACCACTTCCTTATGCCAACGGCCAAATTTTGTGGGAGGCTTTTCACTTTTCATCCAACGGTGTAAAGGTGCCCAAGGAAAATTTTGAATTTATAATTCGTTAATGACATTTATGCCCCCCTCCAAGACAACAATGAGGGATTGTGTATGCGGGTGTTTTAGGACAATTTGCAAGTCGTAGAAATTTCCAGAAGGATGAAACGTTTGTGGGGGAATACAACGGTTGATGCTTTACTGACCTGTCAGTAAATACGGATAAAGCCATTGGGTCATGCAATTTTAATTTCAAGGAAGAATTGCACATGAGGTCCTTAATCTATGCACTTGTATTAAACTTCAACTGTATTTTGAGTTTGTAACGTTTTATTTCGAATAACCGGTTCCAATTCATTTAAATTACAAGATTTATTTTTTTTCCTTTTTTATTGAGAAAGTATATTTATATTATTTTGAAGAGAATTAAAAATAAAAAACTAAATTTCCTACTGTATATGAGTAACAACTGAGAAGTGATCACATCAAAAGATTGGATTTGACAAAAACCATAACAAGGCATGTTGACTTTAAGAAGTTGCTTTTGAACCTATATAAATAATTTTTCGAAAGTGCTTTATATAACTAAATTTTTTTTTTTTTATAAATTGTTTAAGTAGAATTTGTCATGAATAATTGTCTCTCTTCTCGATAAATGAAGTTGTTCAATGAATCTTATGTCCCATGTTAGTCTATTTTTGTATTTTTTCTAGATTCAAACAAAATCACAAATAAAATAAATTCATAAATTTGATACCCTGTATAAAATTCACGGGTGAAAGAAATATTCGATGGATCAAGAAGAGCTGACGAACGGGTGGGTTGATTAACAATTCACAAATGAAAAATGGCAAAAAAAAAAAAAAGTATTCACTCCTCTTTTGCATTTTGCATCTATATATTTTTTGTTCGATTAAATTCTAATTGCACTATGATAACTCAGCGATCATACATTATGTACTATGCCCCTATTTGGTGGGGGGATTGAAATTAGATTTTTGGTAACTTTTGATAATAATTGATAAAATACGTGGTTGAAAAACTTATAAATTCCATGAAATATGTGACTATAATTAATTATCGACTTTGATTTGATTAAAAGTTGAATTTTAATTCCTATCAAACAGGGACTAAATAACAATTTGATTTTTATTTATGTAAAGAACGTATTAAATTCATATATATGGAAAGCTAAAATTTCTTCTAATAATGCTATGAAGACAACTTCGAGAGTCATGAGTCACAACCACTTTTATTCAATAATATTTTCACGACCCCCCTCTCCCCGGGCTCAACTAATAATTAAAATATACAACATGGATTTTGGCAATGTAATGTAGTTGGACTCTCACGTTGATTGAAAAATTGGGAGGATATGTAAACGATATTCTTTCCTTTCCAGCACTTTGACATGTGCAATTGCCCTATGAAGACTCGCTTTTGCTACAACTCCGATGAGTTTCCGTATCCAAGTCATTGCCTATGAGTCGCTAGCTAAGTGTTCAAATTCACAGTACAATATATATAGTACAAATAATCTACTCACAAATTTGTGAACAAAATAGTTCCATTCAACAAATATAAAGTCCTAGAAATATTAAATTTATGCGTCTAGGAAAATCAAATTTCAAATAATTTCTAGTTTTCCACAAAGATAACCCCAATAGTCATACATCACTTGCTATCAAGATGGATTTTTATTTTTGCAAAGAATTATAATAATGGTCCGTTTGATTGTACAGATGGAATTGAATTGCCTAGAAAACGAATTCCAGGAAATTGAATTGCTTAGAATTGTTTTCCTGAGAATTGTAAATTATTGTGTTTGATTGGTATAATTTTCCACCTGAAAAATGTTGAAATAAAAGTGTTTTTTGGTGTTCGTTTGATTTTATTTTACATGAAAATTGTCAATTAAAAGGATATATTTTACAAGTATTGGGGATTAAATTTGTTTTCATTGCCAATACAAAAAAAAAACAAAAATTTCAAGAAAATTATCTATTTTTCGATGTTCGTTTGACTTTGTTTTACATGAAAATTGCCATTTAGAGGGAAATATTTTTTTACAATAATTTTTAGAATTTGTTTTCATTGCTAACAAAAAAAAAAAGGGGAAACAAAAATGCTACAATAGGTAGGAAAACCAATAAAAGTCCAAACTTCAAGACAATCAAGAATTCGAATTCCATGGAAAAAAAAATGTATCATACACCTAAAGTTGGAAAATCCAATTCCAATTCCATTTCCACCCTATCAAACACACCCTAAGTTCATGAATTTAGAAAGTCTAAATTTGAGGCCTCGTTTTTTTTTTTTTTTTAAACCACACATTTTTCATTGAAATAATATTAAACGTAGATTAAAAACTTTTCCTTATTTTTCATTCACACATTCTCCATAAAATCTACTATTCTAAAATTTATTTTTTAGTAAAAATGAGTATCAAACACCCTCTGAATAACTAATTTTGCTATAAAGACAACTTCAATAGTCATACAGGTCGTTCCACATTTATTCAATTATAATTTTCATGATTCTCGCTCGAGTATTAACTTCAAGAAGTCTAGTATGAAGAATGGTTGGTTTACAATACAAAAAATTGAAGAGTAAAATGGTTTTAAAAAATGAATATATTATGTTTAAATGCCATATTTGGGAATACTCTTACATGTCGAGTAAAAGGAAGTAGACAAGAAAGACGTCAAGAGGCACCAGAACGAGTAAGTAATTGCCTCTACCAGCTTAACTTGCCTTGCATATATTCATGACAGTATAATTCTATTTGTGTTTTATTGTATTAAAGAAAAATGAAAGACAGCAAATGAAAACTAAGCACACATTCAGATTTTCATGTTTTCCTATACTCATTTTTTAAACTTTTTAACCACGCATTCAGAAAATACTTTTTAAATAATCTTTAAAAAAAAAATCTTTATCAAACAGCACTAAAGGAAAGGTGAGATTGAAGGTCAATTTGCAAGTTGAAGAAATTTCCTATGCTTATTGTATTAAATTGACTATCAACTTTAATTTTCGATTGTGAGTTGGTAACATTATAATTTGAATAATAAGTTCCATTTCATTTAAATGGCAAGAAATATTTTTTATCGAGAACATAATTTATTTATTATTATTATTATTTTTTAAATCCCCGACCTTGTATATAAGTAACAAGTGAGAAGTGGCACAAATAAAAGATTTAGGTCAAATCTGCTACTAAATGAAATGTTTGATACTGTGGCTGCAATTCTCCTTAATAATAATAATAATAATAATAATAATAATAATAATGATATCTAAGTAACGCTTTTGTTATATAAATGAGTTCCACATGTCGTGCTACTAAATGTGTTAATTATTTATTTTTCTAAACAAATATGTGAAGTAGTGCATTTAGAATGCCAAAATTTCAAAAATCTTCTAATGATGTTACGATGATAAGTTCTACAAAACAAGTTGTTTTTAAATTTTTACAAAGAAACATATGAAGTCCATGCATTTAAAGAACCAAATAACTTACAATTGTGCCATAGAGACAACTCCAACAGCTATATATCGAGAATCGGTCAAAAGTTACCAATCGAATCTCAAGGTGGCAATCCCTAGGAGGTCGAACTCTACTTCTAAAATTTGTTGGACCTCATGTTGTTTTTTTGCCTCGGCACGATTCCTCTCTTCCTTTTATTTTCACACCATCGATCAAAAGGTTGGTAAAACCTTACCATGCACCATGCCCTAAGGGGGCAAAGGACTCTAAGCACGAGGGTAACCACTTAACCTACCACCTCAGCCAATCAAACCATCACCTAACTACCTTTGTAGTCACCTAGGTAGACGTCTTGACCCCTGTCAATGGAACGATAGTACCCTTCAAGTCTCTATCATATTTTCCTTGATGTTCAAGTCTTCTCACTGAGGGGATGCTAATATCCTACATCGTCATCTTTTTGCTAGTAATGGAAGTAGCTTGTGATATTTCTCAAAGTCTTTACCTTTGTAATTTTAAGATCATTCTAGGGGAAAGAATTGTGTTCATTGTTATCTCCATCTCCAACCTTCTCAAGTCCTATAAGGTACGAATTTTGATAGAATCACATCACATTTCATTTTTATCCAATAATAATTTTCACGAGTTGCTCTCAACTAATAACTTTAGAAAATTTAGCTAAGTGTTATACCTCTTCAAGCAAAGCTCCAAGTATGATCACGCGATAGCCACACAACAAGTGAACCTGAGCCTACACTCCATGCCATTCTACCCATTTGGCAATTTGGTTGAACCCCATAAAGAGGTCGAACCCTTATGAAGGGCCGAGCCCTCGTGGTAGAGGCGAGCCAGGTAGAAGCACAAGAGATCTTATGTGCAAAATCTTCCATGAATGATTGATATGACAATTCACTGCAACAATTATCCTATCAAATCAATAGCTCAAGTCTAAGCCTTATGCATCAGCCTTAGGGTGGCAAAGAGGTCATAACATTAAATGTGTTTGATTGATTGATGCCTGTGATACGATTCATCGATCGTGTGGATGAGGCCATGTGTCTTTGCATCCAATGATTCTTACTCATTCCCTTTTACAGTAAAAGCTCACACACTGTGTTATTCATAATAATGCAAGTGTATGTTCTCAATATATAACTTTTGTTCTTTCTGTATTCCACATGTATTCTATTAAAGCCAAATTCTTTTTTACATAATTGGTTCATGTCTAAAGCACGTCCTGCACTTGAATACTTTTATCATCCATTGACTTGACTATTAGGGTGCACACGACTACTTCTCTTACAACCGGAG